GCAGGTGGAATCTTTCAATGCATGCTTTGGGATGATGTTTGCGGTGCTTCGTAAAGCATACTCTTATGCTGCGATTTAATCCATACAAGTCCGTTTGGGTCCACGAAACAACACCAAAGCTGTACGCAACAACTGGGACAGCGTATGAATTAATTGCTGCAACTGTGTTTTGTGCAGACAGCCTTGTCTTTATTATTATTATTTAATATTATACACTAATAAAAATAAGGTTTAATTATACACACATAAAAATGTATTTAGTAAAACTAAACAGATACCATATTAAATAATTAATCCTTATAATTGAAAGTATCTAATTTAAAACTACTGGTGCATTAACATTTTGATCATTTCATTATTAAATAAAATATACAACGTATGTATACTAATAAATTGAAAAAGATTAACTATATACATTATATAAAAGTACCCAATAAAATAAATATCTAAACAATTCTTATTTCAAATTATTAGGTATAATTTAAAAGTAGTACTACACATACATTTTGATAATTTTAATATTCATTAAAAAAAATACAATTTATGCCAATAGAAAAAACTTCATTTGTACTTAGTAGTTTCTTATGTAAAATTAGTATTGCAGATACGTGGATATTTTATTATTCTTTAAAAAATCCAATATAATTTGTATACAAATGATCGATCACTTTGTCTAATTTTATTGTCACATTCATCCATGAGCTGTTTAATGTCAGAGGTAGTTGGCTTTTTAAGTAAATCCAGATAATTTGTAACACAAAGTTGTTTTTCGGCTTTTTTGTTTGCATGAGCCCTAGAAACATCCTTCAATCCTGTATGATTTCCTTTTGTAACCACATCTATAGCACTATCTAGTATTTTTCCAACCCGCACTTTTATTTCTGATGTCAAACTTTTGGATGAAAGCAATTCATACAAAACAATAATTTGTTTTTTAGATCTTGGTTGTTACTTTCTTCCCCTTTCACATTATGGCTTATTATATTGTTAATTATTTCTTCAGTTACCTCATGTGTCTCAGCTGTCTGAATAGGAATCACTAATTTTGAACAATTTTGAACAATTTTAAACAATTTTAAACAATTTTAAACAATTTTAAACAATTTTAAACAATTTTAAACAATTTTAAACAATTTTAAACAATTTTGAATTACTACATGTGTATGTTTACACAAATTACTTTTTATAAAAAAATCAAGAATGTGCATGTATATTCGTGCACACAAATTTGACATTGCTTGCAAAATAAATGACAGTTTTTGCTTCTTCTAAAAGATTCATCAAACTGTTTTTGAACAATATTATAACCTCAAAAACCGGGGTTATAGTGTACCGGGTTGTCGATCTCAACCTTTCTGCCTTCAGCTTCACTCTGTAGTGGAGATGGGAGTGAGTTTAAAAATGATCGAATTAATTGAGCGCCAAGCCGTTATATCCTCTTCCTGATTCCAAAATTGACCTGCCTCTTAAACGGCTAAACTGGGTAAATCAAAGACAATACTTCCAATACACACCGATATATTTTTTTATTTTGAGAGAAAGAACTACAGCAAGCAACGTGTGATTTCAATATGATCTAGGTAAAAACAAATTATCACTATCACAAATTTTGGGTAGCGCACAAATCCAAAATATAATAAAGGTTATCGAAACACTAGTATTAACACATTAAGTACCTAAGCGGAGATTAAATAAATAAAAGTACTTTAAAAATGAATAACGCACGGCGGTTTTGGTACCAAAAACGACGGGTAAAAATTAATCATCGATGTTAGAGAAGTAAAAATAAGAGTAACCTTAATTTCCGCCTTACATCTAAATATATATAAAAGTAAAATGGACCATTAATTCCAAGTAGGCCTTCAGTATACCCCAATTTACACAGTAAACCTACCCCAAACAATTTAACAAAATCCCTGAAATTAAATTAATAAAGTGTGCGCTACTTTTCCCAATTAAAGAAGAAATACTTATAAACCTAAATAAACAGAGCGGACTAAAATAGCCAATAAAACCGATTAAGGCTTCACTAAACTATTCCTTGCAAAAATATATTAAAAAAATACCATTAACTGCACCCACCCTTTTAATTTAAAATATACTATCTAATAGTAAAATAAAACTTACAATACAAATGTTTGAGATAACAAAACAAAATAATCTTACTCAATAATGAGTTGAATCCAAATAGCACCCATAATATTAACAAAGAAGTTATATACCCTTCAACGACTAGAGAAAATGATATAAAAAAAGGTTCTTGCAAAAACTTACCCTTTTAATCACAAAAAGGGTCCAAATCCAAACCAAACTAGGTTCCTAACGAGCATAAGCGTGAACGGCGGTTATGGCCAAGGTGTTTTCCAAAGGGGCCAGCTATCCAATTCAAAAATCCAACACGAGGTTGCTGCGAGGAAATGGCGGCCGACAAAACTCAACCACTGATAATGTTCCACAAATCACAGGCACCAAACCAAATGCCCTCACAGTAATGGGGAAAAACGGGGACTAATCCTCCCAGACGGAGATGGCTCACAAACCACAAAAATCTTCCGTAATCCCAAGGATGCTTAACAGCCAAGAGCAAAACCGTCCAACTTAGCTATATCTAACAAACGTTCTTGTTCAAACCACACCGGCTTCGCCTTCCCGTCTATCGCGAGATATCGCCGTAAACCGGACGTTAGCGACCAATTACCTATCGATCTAGTCGTCACCTGACCTCAAAAAGTCGTACTGACCAATCAACAAATTACCCGTGCTAACAAACCAGAATTACCAGAACTCGAATTCGTGAATACCAGAACTATTCGCCACCAGAACTATTCTCAAAAATTAATAATAACGAAGGGTGTTGTCTTCGTCCAGAATACCGTTTTAAAACAAATCGGTGCATCTATTGCTGCCGAAATACGATAGGCACAAATCGATCAATCACGTCGAGAATGTCATGGAACACGCGAATATCCATTCCGAATTGACACAGTTCCTAACAAACAAACGAACGAACCCAGAGATGCAGCGAACGAGCCCAGGGCTGCAATAAACAGTAATATTTCCAAATGACAAGCAACGTCCAAAAAAAAAGAAGAAAAGTTCATTAACCTAACTATTTTGAAGGAAACGTCAAAAATAACATCGAAAATGTTTATTTATTGGTTTTCTACGGCTTACCAAAAACCAAAAGATAATAACAGATTTATTATTAGATTGAGAGAATATATGTAAGGTTTGTTCGGGTTCACGTCGGGACTGTGTTTGGAATGGTGATGGGCATGCGCATTTGTGAAAATGTATTCTTATGGTATGCAGGACATGAAGCTATTGGTTTTCGAGATGTGGCTGATAGATTTAATATAACTACAAGTACATTGCATGGAATTATTAAAAATTTTTCGATGTTTGTATCAAATCTATCAAGTTGCTACATTAAGTGGCCAACAGAAGAAGAAAAAATCAATATAAAGGCAGATTTTGAAGAGATTGGATTTCCCAATGTTCTTGGTTGTATTGATGGAAGCCATATTAAATTAGATACACCTTCTGTAGATGCTCCTTCATACTTTAACAGAAAAAAATTTTATTCCGTTCATGTTTGTAGGTTACATCATCTACCTTGATAATAACAAAAACTTACTAGTTTAAACTAAAACTGTTATTTTCTTCAGATATGACTTAGTTTAATAGGCAGTAATGTTTTTGGTTAAATCAATTAGATATTCATAGGTATATTGTAGTTTTGTTTATATTTTAGATGCAAGCTGTTTGTGACAGTCGCCATAAAATCATTGATGTTTTTATTGGTTTTCCTGGGTCTGTGCATGATGCCAGAGTTTTTAGAAGCTCGCCATTATTTAATACTTTGGAAGAGAAATGTGGGGAAAATTACATACTAGGTGACAGTGCCTATCCATGCCTGAGAAATTTATTGACACCATATAAAGACACAGGTGCACTTACAAATGTTCAAAAGCAATACAATAAGAAATTAAGCCATTGTCGTGTTGTGATTGAACATACATTTGGCATTTTAAAACAAAAATTTCGCCAGCTGTATCACTTAAAGTTAAGATATATTACAGTAATATGTCATTTTATAAGGGCATGGTGCGTTTTGCACAACATGTCTATAGAAGATGATACAGTGGATTATGAATTTGAGACGGCAGTTGATGAACAAACTTTGCCTCAATTGGAAGACGATATTGTGGAAGAAGATGAAGGAAGTCCTAGTGGTTTATTGTACAGAAATTATATAGCTTCTCTTCTTTATCATGCTTGAAGAAGTTTTGTTTCCTTTGTACAAATATTTTGCATTTTTATATTTATTAAATAAATAAAAATAACTGTTTTTCTGCTACTTACTGTGTTTTACTGTTAAATTCTAAAGTATACTTAAACTTAAAGTTGTTTTCTAGTGTCAAAATAAGATTTCAAGTACAGCAGTAACCGTAGACATTGATATTTGATCTCATTTTTAAACTCCGAATTATATTTTTACACCATTTTTTTTTACCAAATGATAAGAGATTTTTGTGATTAGTTTATAGATTAGCTAAACATCAATTAGTTATAAAAAAATCTTAATTTTTTCCGATTTTATCATAAAAGGAACATGTTACTTTTGCTTACCCTGCACATGTCAAAAAAAAAGAAAATCAAATATACATAAATTTTAAAAAGTACAAGGTAGAAATTAAAGAAGTTTGATATGATTTAAAAATATTTAAAATGGAACAAACATAAAACAAACATAACAAAACAAACATAAAACACAACTTTTTACTAAAATAACTTTTGATAAGTGCTTTAAAGACTGTCATAAATATCAGGAAAAGTTATATAGATAACAAATACTAAACAATTATGAAATCCAATTGGCAACTTAATAAACTTTTTTCTTTTGAACTAATTAAAAAATCCTAAAGCTAACTTAAACTATTTTTGCACTAAAAATTGTAAAATCTTAAAAAATAAACTGTTTTTGAATTTAGCACTGTTTAAATCTCATCAGAGTTTTCTATATTTAATTTCCTTCTTTTGCGTTCTTCTTTATCTTTTTTTAATTGCAACTTTTCCCTGTCAACTTCTAGTTTCTCTTTGTAGTAGTTTTTTAAATCATTTTTTATTTCCACTAATATCTCGTTTCTTTTCTGATAAGAAATACGAGGATTTCTTCTTTTACTATTTACTTGTAAACATGTAGCTACCTCAGGGATTTGAACTGGCTTTGACTGAGATGTCGATGGTTTGTCATTTGGTATTTCTTCATTAATCATTGTTGACGGTGGTTTTTCTGGGTTTACAGATATGGTCTTGGAACTTAGAAGAATTGTTGGCTCAATGTTGACCTTTTTATGATAAATTTGATCAAACTGATTTTCATAATCAAACGTCTTCCTTCCTCTGCCTGTTTTTCTATTGTTATCTGTAAATTTTTTGTATCCTCTGTCCAAAACCTTAAATCTGTTTTTACATTTTGTGGGCCCAATTGTTATTCTTAATTTATTTGATATTTCCGTTGAAATTATTTCCCACATCCTTTTAATCGTTTTAATTTTACCTAAAGCTACTTTCGGTTTATATGTTTTATACAAATTTAATAATGTTACCGTTCTATCTCTGTTAAAAAACATCTCATCAGAGTCTGTAGTTTCATGGTATTCTTGCGATTGCGATCCTTCTATCGGATTTATTAAAATAAATTCCGACATATCTAGATCTAAAAAGAAGGTAATTATTATTATTTGCACACTCTCTTTCTGTCTCTTTTAGTTACTTACCGGTCATATTTTTGGTTTCTCCTTGATGGTTTGCAATATTCATTTTCTTTTATTACTATAATAATTAATTTAAATAGATGCCTAACTAGTACCTAGTAAATCAGACTTTCATGAATAAGACCTAACCCTATTATTCTACTTTCATTTAATGTTATCAATTTTTTTAGGCCTCAGCTGCGTGAGCTATTCGGTCTAAAAGAAAACTCAAATTATTAAAATAAAAGAAGAAAATTATCGTATCATAAGTATAAGCGTTCGGGTTTTTTTATATTTAACTCATAGTTTCGGACAGTCTAGGATAATATCCTACTGCGCATCCAGTTCTGAGTAGTTTAAACATCGTTCGGGATTTTCGAACCCGAACAAACCTGTAATTGGATGATGTGAATCTATGACAATTTACTAAATGAACATTGGAAATTTCACTAATAACTTGAGTGAATATTCAAAATACAGGTTCTGAAAGCGATACATGACGAAGAATAAAGAAGGAATCCACTATACAAGATATGATGTATATTTAGCTACTAAACAAGTAATGAAACAGGGTAATTAATTCAATGATATCAGCAAAACTCAAATTTTAGGGTCGTTCAACTAAATGGGCTAAAAATGACACGAACTCACTCTGAAAGAACACAGGGATATAACGAGACGAAGAAAGTAGTAAATAAAACACCCTTATTTGGATAAAAAGGTAAGCGTAAACTAAAATTACACATACAAGGGGCCATCAAAAAGTACTTGTCTTAGTATAAAAACTGGATCGTTACAATATAATGCTTATCATTTTTGCCTGCTGATTTTATATTCCAAGTAACGTCATCAATATTAACAATATATTCAATTTTTATTTTTGTACTTAGTAAGTGAATTTTTCTTATTAAGTCCATTCGATATTAATTATTACCTTTAATATTTCTCTTCAACTTTTTTATTGTAATATCACAGACTAATTTTAATATAAAATGTAGACACATGTCAACTCTCTTGTTTTTATTTCTTTGGAAATATATGTGTTTAAGTGTCCTGTGCATGGTTTCCAGAAACATATTGGTGTTAATAATAAATCCTTGTCTATAACAATATGTCCATAGGTGAGAACGATCCACATAAGTTTTGAAGTATTCCCCAAATGCAACGGTATATTAACAGCCAACGAGCTCATTTACTCTAAATTCTTACAATTCTTCGAATTCAGAAGTATTTTTAGTTTTCAATAACATGTGTAAACTCTTATAAATTTTTGCTTTATCTGCTTAATCATCCTTGATTTTGTTTAAATTTTTTCGCCAATTTTTATCGACATACCATGCACACAAAAGTATCAGACATACTCTTAGTATTAGTCCATGAATTATAGAATTCCGAAGCATCACCTGACATGAATACTTTACAATTTATGTCACCAGTCTGCGTATTGATAATTTGAAAAAAATGTGTAAGCACAGATGTGTCTGCTTTATTGTAAATCATAAATGCAGTCAGCACCAAACTCATCAACAACCATGTCAATCAAAAATCGTAATTTGTTGTTCCATGTGTCGAATTAAAACTTAGTAATAATTGATTTGTTCATAAATATCAACACAAAATCATTCTCCTCATATATATCTGCAAATTCATTTGAACCTTGAGCTTTGTAAAATAGGACAGGATAATCAATTTGTTGTTTGAAACGTTAAATCCGAAGATGAACACTTATAACATCAGTTCTGTGTAACTGAACATGCCCCTGCGAAAAATCCCTTGTTACATTTCGTAAGTCCTGGCGATTTAGGAGACTAAATAATTCTTTTAAATCAATTCCATCACGGCTATCATCCAAAATTTTTTGAAATGATACGCTTTCAGCAATTTTTACTTTAATTTTTTGTGAAATTTATGTGCATCAAATTGCACGTATGACCTACATGACGAGTGTATAAAGTTAATTTTTTTTCTTTGCAAATTAATTCTAATATTGATGGACAAGTGGCTGAAAGTTTTGAAGAACCCTGAGATTTTAAAAGTCTCTGATGCTCACTATGGGCATGTTCGAGATGACACCCGATGGAGTGAGCAGGGCATGAGCAGACTTCTGTTAAGTCAGAGAGGGATTATAGTAACATCTCTAACGCTCTCGGTAACTCGGAGTAAAAATCATAACCTCAATCACGATAAATAATCCATATCGTGTTGTTGTGTCAGTATCAGTCAAATTTGAAATTGAAATGATTATTTACAGTAATAATTTACCTTCAATAATCGATATGCTTTTTCATGACAGTGATGATGAAGAAGAAAGGGAGGAAGAATTAAAAATTATGAATTTGGCTGAGGTTACAGTACCAAATTTTAATGACGAGCAATTTCAATTACATTTTAGGCTTAATTACACAACATTTGAAAATATATTATTTAAAATAAAATCCATACCTCATGTTCAAACAAAGTTGAGTGGAAATCCAGAAGTATGTCTAGAAAAATAATTACTGATTACAATTTGGTATTTAGCAAACATTAAATGCTTGAGATAAGTAGTATTAAAAATTAAGTCTAGTTTATAGAAAATATATTAGTATAAAATTGTATAACTGTAATCGTAGGTAAAAAAATAAAATAATTATTTATATTTTCTAATTATTTTTTAGTCGGTTTAGAGTTACGAAATAAACAACATGAAGTTGTTTAAACAAAATTTACAAATTGATTTTAGAGGCTAATGTTTTTTACCAAATTATAAAAATTCCAGACAATGAGGAATGCCGTGAATCTATTAATGCATTTAAAGAAAAAACAAAATTTCCAGTTACCTAAAATGTTCTGTAATTTAAAATCAAGTGCTGAAATGTTATAGAATGGTTGTAAAGAATAATACAAATGTTTATATTTTGTAGATATAATAGGGGCAGTAGATGGGACACATATCCCCATATTAGCCCCAAAAGAATAAACAGCTTTCTATATAATTCGGAAAAACTTTCACAGTATCTTATTACAAGGAACTTGTAATTACAAAAAATTATTCATACATTGTTATACAGGAGAAGTTGGATCTCTTCATGATGCAATAATGAATATTCCTGAGGATGGTCATCTCTTAGGTGTATCAGCTTATCCATTAACCATGAAATTACTTGCCCCCTTTAAGGGTAATGGACATTTAACGAACATAGAGAAGAATTATAACAAAATTCATTCTAAAGCAAGAATTATTATTGAACTTTTTGCTCTACTTAACCCTGGAGCAGGCACGCATATTAATTTTGCAAGAGCGGGCGCGTGGTGCAAATATGCTACCATACAAAAAAGCAATATTTTTTTAACCAACTTGTGTTATTCACATATAATATTGAAAATAAAATACATTATTTATTAAAAAGAGTTTACACACGTATTATTTCTAATCCTCTTCGTCGCTTTGTACCAAATTGTTGCTTTTGCAGTGGTCACATTTAATTCTAGTTTCACTATGTTCTTGGCATACAAAATTGTCACAGTTGTCACACATCATCGATGTAAATTAATTTTTTTGTCTTCCGCAAATAGTACAACGTTCACGCTTTTTTCTAGGTTCATCTTTTTGGGGTTCAACTTCTGGATGCTTATAAGATTTCAGAAATAATTGAATATCTGAAGGTATATTTAAAAGTTTCGATGTATCCTCTAGATGAGGCTTCATTAGTTGAAACGATAAATTTTTGAGAAAGAATCGCCTTTGGGTTTTCTCATTTTTTGGGTTACTTACAAATAAAATTTGTGCATTAATTCCTGCAACATTTAGTAAAGCATAAAATAATGCTAACGGCAATCTCCTAGTTGTACGTGATACAGAATACCCACTACATAATTGGTCAACTGTATCTACGCCACCTTTAGTCATATTATAATCAAGTATTATTTGCGGTTTTCCAGACTCATGAATTGTACCTTCATCATGCATAGTAGAAAGCAATACTACGGCTTTTGATTTTTTTGGAACATATGATACCATAGTCACTTCTTGTTAAAAACCGTGACAAGATGACCCCACAGCTCTATTCTTGTGTGGCAGAAATTCGGGAGGTATTTCTGCCTTATTTTTTCGCATAGTTCCAATCATCGTTATTTTATCTTTCAAAAGTGAACATGCTAAAGGGTAACTAGTATACCAGTTGTCAGTGGTAAGGTTGCGGTTAGTTCCTTTTATATGTCTAGTAAGTCTATGTACTATATCATACGGGCTGTTGGATAAACAATATTGTCCTTCTGGTTGTTTGCCACAATAAACTTCAATTGCGCTTGTATAATATGTTTTTGCGTCACAAAGTGCAAATATTTTTAGTCCGTACTTTGCAGGCTTATTTGGAATATACTGAATAAAACTACACCTACCTCTAAAAGATTCCAGTTTTTCATCTATGGTGATAAATTCGCTATGACTTTAGTGTTTCTTACAATTATCTTCAAATTTTTCCAAAATTCCTCGAATTGCTGCCAATTTATCAATTGTTTTACGCTGTTTCCGTGTTTCTCTATCATCAAACCACAAGGATCTTAATAGCAACAAAAACCGCTTATAACTCATACACGTTCTCAAAATGGGCAGAATTGTTCCATCATTTGCCCACAATTATTTCACGTTAGTAGGACTTCCTTTTTTCGTTCCGATCAAAAATAGCATACCCAACAAAGCCATTATTTCTGATTTAGTTGTTACTTTACCGTCTCTATCTCTACTATAATTTACTTCTCGTTTTCGTGTTATATACAAATTTGTGTAATGTAAAATTTCACTTATAATGTTATTATCTATTATTTTTGAAAAAGCTTCAGATTCTGTTTCTATATTTTTGGCCGTACTTTTAGGACCGGGAAATGTTTTAACGATGTTTTTTGATTTATTCTTTGAAGTTTTGAGATGGTAATGCTTTTTCCGCCATTTTGTTTTTTTGTCTCTACCGATATAGTATTGCTCGCCAGTTTCATCTTCTTGCTCCAACTCTATATCAGAAACTGACTCATCCCTAGTTTCTTCGTTATCATCATAGTCCAACTCCGAATTTGATTCTGGGTCATCTT